TATTATTATTATTGTTTTTTTATATTATAGATGATTATAGTTTTTACTTAAAAGGACGCCATACGGGCAAACGAAACACATTCTAGGATGAGAACTTCTATTAATATAAACATTTCTGCGAAAAACAATAATAACTTTAATGCAGTAAAAACGGTACTTGAATAAATTACTTGTACCAAAAATGTTCTAAGCCGACATAATAAGCAATAAACATTTTATAATGCAATTTATTTACAATACTAATAAGCGATAAATAACTAACCGGATGGTCTATTTATAGCATTAATTTTAGTGTAATTGAGCGACAAATTCAAACAATCGTTTTCAACAGACGGAACAAATATATTCAAAACGGGGACATATACAAATAAAATGCAAGTTAATAAGCAAATTGGCAACGTGTGGAATTCATAAGCGTTAAGAATGATTTCAATGCTCCGTCCCTTTGAATAATACAGACTTATGGAAGCAACGTTGCCAGTTTGTTTATGAACTTATGTCTAACCCATGGGACACGAGAGAACACAACTGAGGGTCTCTATTGAGAAATGAAGGATTTTTTTTTCTATCTTACCATTTGGCCGCAAAGTCACGTTCTTTCAAGCAGTATATTTATTGTACTAAACATTTGCGACGCTCTAATTTTGATCATCCTAATATTTGAATTTGTTGCTCTTATTACTTAGCTTGATTGACTTCATTATTCATTTTTTTTAATATGTGTCCATAAATTAAAAATAATTTATGTATTTGTCGCCAATTTATTATTTAGTTTTCAATTTATTACTCTATAATTACTCTCTTGTAGTATATTAGTAATCGGATTTTATCATTACACATTTTCGATCGTATACTTCTACTCTCTTAAGTCTAAATATGTTAAAAATTAAATTTTCAAATATTATTGAATTATTGGAATGCATAACCGATTAAATTATTATTAATTATATTATATATATAATTTCAAATAAAATGTAAAAAGAAAATTTAAAACTTCTTTCAAACATAACAAACATTTCTGTAAAAAAACAATAATTTCAATGTTGTAAAAATGGTGTTTGAATAATTAGACCATTTTTTATTGTATAAGTAAGTTAAAAATGTATGTTTCCATCTAAAAAAATAAATATAGTACTCTTATAAGGGATAAAGGAGAGACTTAAAAATTATTTAACCACTAATAATTTGAATACATAACAAAGCCCCAAAAAAATATGTCCAAGATTATTATTACTTGAGGAGAAATTTAGTGGTCAATGATAAATCAATCACCTTTGAAAGCTAATTAAAAAACATATTATATATATTCATAAAATAAATATTTTTAGTAATAGTTCAAGCAACTTTTATTTAATAGTTTTATACATTTATTAAGCTCATAATTTTGTAAAATATTATTCATATTTTTAAATTTAAAATTAAAAGTTATTGGATTGCATAACCATTTAAATTATTATATATTATATTATATATAATCTCAAATAAAATGTAAAACATAATTTCAAACTTCTATCAATACACATTAACACATAACAAACATTTTTGCTAAATAAAGAATTATTTTAATATTGTAAATGTGGCGCTTGAATAATTTGTACCAAAAATTTATTAAACCGACACAATAAACAACATACATTTTACAAATCCAATTTATTTACAATAATAATGGGCGATAAATTACTCAACCGGGCGGTCTATAAATAGAAATTATTTTAGTATAATTGAGCCACAAATTCAAACAATCGTTTTTAGCAGACGGAACAAATATATTCAAAACGGGGACATATACAAATAAAATGTAAGTTAATAAGCAATCTGGCAACGTGTGGAATTCATAAGCCTGAAGAATGACTTCAATGCTCTCCCTTTTTAATTAAACAAACTAAGTGAAAGCAATGTTGCCAGTTTGCTTATGAACTTATTTCTAAAACGCGGGACACGAAAGAACACAACTGAGTGTTCAAAAGTTACATGTGTAGCCTAGTCAAGCTCCACATAGCTTTTAATCACCCACCCACCCCCTCTCATCACTTGGCCTACGGCAGTCACAGTTGTCGTGTCCGGCACTACTGGCATCTAAGTTAGTACGTACGCGAATGTGTAGTTAAGTCGCATTGTTGAGTTTCCTAACTCGTTGGCCAGTGTTCTGGTGTGTTTTTATTTGTTGTTGGTTGGTTTGTATCGGCAGTGTAGTTGACTAATGGCTGGGTGATGTTTTACGATTTTTAGTGTTAATGTATCAATATATTGAATCTCTATTAGTTTATATATATACTGTATGTCATCGATCTTTAGTGCATTGTCTTCTCGTTGTTCGCCTATTAAGATTAGCAGAAAACACCCGACCCGTCATTTATACATAGTTGATTAAGTTAAAGTTTATGTAAAGTAATTGAAAGAGTCACTCTAGGACCTAGTATTATATATATTATTTTTACAATCAATATTGAGAAATGTAAGATTTTTTCTATTTTACCATTCGGCCGCCAAGTCACGTTCTCTCATGCAATATATTCATTGTACTATAAAATTATGACACATTAAATTTGTTCATCGGAATATTTGTATTTGCCAAACTTATTACTTAGATCGATTGACTTAAGTATTCATTTTCTCAATTATCTCGAATTCAAAATAATCAATGACTGTTGCCAATTTTTTGTAGTGTAGTTTTCAATTTTATGTTCTAACATATTTATAACTATTTTTATCCTTAAACGTTTCTCGCCCGCTCATTTCAATCTTCGAATCATTTTTTAAATTATACCAGTTTCTATATTTTAATCAAGTTAAAAAATTATGTTGTCATTTAAAACTACTTAGTTAGTATTCTTAAGGGATAAAGGACAGGCTTAAAAAGTATTCAATCCAGTGGTGGCCTCGTGGATGCTAGTGGTGGGGGTACGACTTTAAATATTGTACAAATATAATTAATAAATATAATATAAAATATAGTTATAGGTATAAAAAATTGTCAAATTAAATATTGTAAAATAAAACACAATACACATATTATTATTTTTAAGGACGCAGTAGATTATAGAAATGAAAATAATAATAATAGCGATTATACTATTATAACAACCGATAAAGACAAGCAGTCAATTCTAAAAATAAATTACCCAATATAGTAGTATACTAATATTTTACCGTATGAACAACGCTATCGGTCGTCCAAACATTGCTCGTGTGTGCACTCACATATACTGAGGGAAACAACTTTTATGTTCACACACGACAAATGAATTATAACTATTTTACTATTTAAAAATTTGCATTTTTAATAAAAATGTAGAATTAAGAATATACAATTCATTTTCTTCTTTTAATTAATATTAATAGGGAGTTTCCCGTCCCGTCGTCCAATCTACGAGCCGCCACTGAGTTAATCACTTATGATTTCAGAGATTAATAGTACACAACAAAGCCAAAAAAAATATTACCAAGATTATTATTACTTTAGGAAAATTTAGTGGTCAATAATAAATCAATCACCTTTGAAAGCTAATTAAAAAACATATTAAAAATATTTTAGGTAATATTTCACACAATTTTTTATTTAACAGTTTTATACATTTATTAAATTCGACATTTTATAAACAATTATTTATATTTTAAAATTTTAGATTAAAAGTTATTGCAGTGCATAACCAATTAAATTATTATAAATTATATTATATATATAATCTAAAATAAAATGTAAAATATAGATTAAAAAAACCCAGCACAGGGGGGTCGCGGCACAGTGGTGACGTGGCATAGATGGATCAAGTATAATGATATCTGACAGTGATTAAAATCACTATAAAAAAAAAACGCTTCGATGCAAATCTTTAGATAGTGTTTAATTTTAAAAAATTGGTGGATTATTCCAAAAGCTACATGATCTGCTAGTTCATTATTAATATCCTAATTAAGATAAAGTATGTCGAATGAAAAAGGGATTATTAAAAAATATTATTTCTTATAAAAAAATAATGTTGATCCATACACTTTTAAATATGTCATAGCATTATAAAGTTAAAAATGTAAAAAATAAAATCGAGAATTTTCACATAATAATAATAAAGTTCTAAAATAATATAAATAAAAGTTCTACTTTTTACATGCATTTTTTAGATTTGAACCCCCTCGTATATAGGGAAATGGTCCGATTTAAAAAACAGTATGTCAAATGAAAGATGTATATGAATACTACTCCTCATAAAAAAATTGTACTGATCCATACATTTTTCAAAAAGTTATAGCATAATAAAGTTAAAAATGTAAAGTACAAAATCGAAAATTTTCACACAAAAATAGCATTCGGTAGCCATTTTCACCGTGAAGATAAAATAAAGTCCGAAATTTTTTTTTTGCATAATAAAGTAGATTACATTAGCTTTAATTTAAGATATATATAAAAGTGTCAGACCTTCCGGAACATTTTCAAAATTTAAGTTAAAAAAATTAATTTTTTGTGAAAAAGTTGTCATTTTAAATCCCCCCTTGTGGGCAGGTTAAAGGTTAAATTTATGAAAAAAATATACCAAATGAAAGGTAATGATATCATGAATCTATATAAAAAAAATATATATTGATATGTTCATTTTTGAAAAAGTTATGACACTTTAAAGTAAAAAAAATTTCGAAAATTAGCGATTTTTTAATTTGTAATTTTTTTGGAGGTTTCCCCCATTTACGGGGAACGAGGGAATTTTTTTCAATTTTTGAGGGTAATGTCTTCGACTAGATACAATTTGTGATCTTTTGACGTATCATTGAAAGAAATCGGTTCGGTGAGAGCTGAGAAAAAGTGGTAACAGACACAAAAAAAAAAAAAAAAAAAAAAAACATCTTAGTAAAACTAATACCTTCTCAGCTTCGCATCGAAGCTAAAACTAAAAAAACACGCTTTTAAAGTACATCGAACTAAAAAGTTAAAAATCATTTTTAAAATAAACTTAAAACAATAATGAACGAAAAATACTAGTATTATTGTGATAAAAGCGTAAGTGCTTTATGCCATATTTTTTGTATAGTTCGAATTAAACTTTATTATATTTTTTAGAACATTGGTCATATACTTGATGATGAAAATACTGAAATTTCTAATCAGTTGCTTGTAAATAATTCAGTAGAAGTAGTTGATGAAATAGGAGAAATTGATATCGTCTATTTTTGAGCATTCTAAATAATGAAGAAAAAGAGTATCAGTATATGTTACCCAGACAACCCAAATATGTAAACGTTACCCAATATCACAGATGTTGTGCACACACAATTAATTTGGTAGCAACAGTGGTAAATAAAAATTAATCCAACCATCCATTGTACATTTAAAAGTAATATTTTAAATTAAATATTTTATTTTATTAATTAACAATCTCTGTATAGGACTATAAAAAAGGTTTTTCTAATGCTGCTGTTAAAAAATAGTTCCGAATGACTTTTGCCAAGTCAACTGCATTATGGAACAAACAAAGGTGCTCGACCAAGTCAGCTGATTTAATCAAACAAAATCTTGGCGTTTATTTAATAATACCCAACGAGACATGTTAGAATTCATTGTATGATACAGTGTTGTTGCTTAATACATTAATTAAAAATAATGAACTTAAATTTAGAACTATTATGGATGAATTGGTTATTATGAGGTTGACACTAAATTAAAATAAATAATTTATTGATATTTCACTGTTTATATATATATAAAATTTTTTTTTTCAGATTTAATAGATGTGGCATTTAATTTTTAAATCAATATCCAAAAATGTTGAAAATAGTCTTTTCTTAGGAGAGTATATACTCCATTACGATCTGTATCCATCCGCGTAATATATCCACTCTTTGTATTAAAATGCTTGTAACCATAGTGTGTAATCTATCCTCATAACTCAATAAGTACATATCCTAATGTACTTATCTGACTCATCCACATTTTTCGTTTTAACTTAATAGTTTAGTTCATTTGATTCTTATTATTCAATTCTAATGCTAGTACTATTTTATAGTGTGTTAAATTTTCACAACAATTAATTTTTCTTTAATTTAAAAATAGAAATAATATTACTTCTATAACTTAAAATTAAGTATATTATTGAAATAACACCACAAAAAGTAAATTTATTGTATTATACCATTTGGCATAGTTTTATATTACTTTAATATTCTTTTGATCTCAGTACAAGGCAAATAAAATTAACAACAAGTAAAAAAAAAAACAATACATTTTTCATAAATGTTTAGTTTTTCTAGGATTTACAAAATATATATACTAAATAATAATATTTTACCTTTAAATGTAAAAAATAAGTAACTAATCAGTCAGATATAACTCAAAATAAAAATTAATGCTAAAAACCTTATCCTTAAAAATACTTTACAACAGATCACATTAAAAATATAAAAATAAAAACTCTTAAACATTAGTTCATACATATGTTCTTAAAATTACATAGGAAACACCACTTTGTTACTTGTCAGATAAATTGTTTTGTTTTTGTAGGCCACTATAATCTATAAAAATATAAGATTAATTATTATTATTATTTTTATATATTAATATCTATCATATACTAATAAACTACAATTGTTTCATTATTTACTTTTTATTTTTTTGTATGAAAATATTAATTAAACAATAGTAATTTACTAGAATAGTAATAATTTAAAAAAATTAATCAAACAAATTTAAATTAATCAAATATTATATTATGCTACATCACTCTGCATTAAAAAAAAAAAAAACCAAGACTTGGTAAAACTTTAATAAGCAGTAAGAATTTTATACATTTTTAAGCATAACTTAAAATTACCAATTTTTTTCCTTTTATAGACTTCTCCAAATCTAGACATATATTTTTTAATATAGTCTGCTACTTTTTCTTTTGTATTGTTACTTATTTTCAATTTATCAGCTTTTTTTAATTGTAGCTCTTTTAATAAAATATTCTCATTAATCTAAAAAATATGTATTAAATCAATAATTAATTAGTTTAATATCTTTCAAAATAATTCATATAACAGACAAATTTACACCATGGCATTTCTGAGGTAATATCAATTTAAACAGCTATAACTGTAACTACATTCAAAACAGCAAGTGATTTGTTAATTTGATTTTACTGATTTTTATTACCCAAAAACATTTTTTAGGTTATCCAAAAAGATAAGTAATGAAAACTAATAAACAATTATTGTATAACATGTAATTACTGGTAAATTGTAAGGACAATTATTACTTCTCAAAAGTAATTAATTTATTATATAAATCTAAATTAATAATGATAATTAACATAAATTATTGATCTTAAAAACATTACAAATTATAAGATACAAACATAGCAATGTCAACATTTAGACATTTATATCCCTATCTTCAAAATTAAATAGATTAATTTTCATTGTGTCAATTTTAAAATATAATCAAAAACCAAACAATTATGAGTTTTAAAATTTTAAAAACTATATAAACTAAACATTTTTATTATAATAGAGCAAATAGTAGGGATGTGACAAAAATAAACTAACTAACAGCACAGCCTTTGCGATTAGATGTTTTTTGCCCAACAAATGAAAGCTATTTTAGTACTTTACCTGTTCTTGAAACAAATTTATAGCACTAGAAAAAATTTCTGAATATATCACTACTCTACCACAAGAATGTATTTAGTTACTACTAAATTTTTTTAGTTAATTTTTCATATTTACCTTTTTAGCTAGAAATTTGAAATCTTCGTCACTTCTAATACGACCTTGTTGACAAGTTTTTTTAGCATAACATCCTAAAGTCTTCACAATGATTGTAGCCATTGAGTTATGGTAGTCCATTATTTTTTTCATTTCTTTGCGACTATCTGGAATGAGTTTTAACACATCTGTAGAAAAAGACATCATACTAACTGGTATTTTATGTTTCCTTTTAACTGGTAACTGTTCCAAGCTATTAGATTTATTTCGTAAGTTTTTCATTTTTCTATTTCTTAACAATTTAAGTTTTGAAACAATTGGTGAAATCATAGAATCACTATCATTAATCTGATTAGAAGAAATTTGTGGTTCAGTATCTTCAGAAGATGTTGATGGTTGTAATGTAGAACTACTTATATTAAATTCTTTACGAATTTCAAAAGGGTGACATTTCATTAATGGTTTTTGTTTGGAAGTGATTTGATTTAAGTTTATTGGCCGAACATCAACACTTGTTGAATTATCAGATTCTCCTTCAATCAAAAATGTGACTCTTTTCTCTTTTGTTTTTTTTAAAGGATCATCTACATTCACATTTGTATGTTTTTTTAAAGCAGATTTGGTTTTAATAATACAATTTTTTAGAGCTAAACGATGAATATTTCCTTTGCGCACCATATTTCTTTTAGTTGCTGGAATTTTATAGTGAATACCTTTAATTCCTTTAAGCCTCAGTCCTATTTTCTTTTTGAAAACTGGTAATACACTATTTTGAGTTTTCAAGTATCCAACTACTTTTCGGTATTTTTTAAACTTCAATTTTTTATGTAGTTCAATTTCTTTATTAACTTTATTGCAAGTTAGTACTTCAGAATTCATATTTTGAATAATAAAAGTTTTTGGCACAGAAAATTTGTTTTCATCTTTTGTTTTACTCAATAGAGAGTTTAATATTGCCGTAGAAAATTTATTCTTATAGTTCAAACAAAATTTAGTAGGAAATTGTAATAAATTGGAGCACAATGAGTTAGATGCTATATTTGCTTCTTTATTATAAAAAACTACTTTTTTATTTTCTCCAGTTATTGAAAACAATGAAACATCAGATAAATTTAAAGGTGGTTGTGGAAACTTTGATTGAACTGAATTTTTTATTTTTAACAGTTTAGAGGGTTGTTTTTTAAAAGATTTACTAATTACTCTAATTCTTGCTAATAAATCTACACCAGATTTTACAGCTTTTATATTTTTTAAAATTTCATCTATTTGATTAGAACTTGAGACTTGACTGGATTGATTATTTTTAAGTAAACTATTTTGCATAAAGTGATGTACATTACTATTCAGAGAATTCAAAATTAATTTAGTGGGAGACACTAGAGATTTTTCAGAATCAAAATCATTTTGTGCAATATTTACTAAAGATGTAGGTAATTTTTTTGAAAAAGGTTGTACTAGTATTGATGAATTAAATAAAGGTGAAGGGGATGGTTGTAATGGGTTGTGTGTCAATGGAAAGTCAAGTTGGCAATTTGAGTGTAGTTGATGAATTGGTAAGTATGGTGATCTGCTTACAAGTTTGGACTGTAATAAAGTTTCTGGTGGTAAAGCATTTAAACTTTGAATATTTTGGTGAATAGTATTACCTGTAATAATAACAAATTATTAAATTATATATATTAACAAGTAATAATATAATTAAATTAAATACTATAACATTTAATAACATCTGATATACAGAGCTAGCTTTATGTATGATCAATCTATGTGACAGTACAGGGTGGTATCAAGAAAAATACGATGTTTTATAATATTTTCAAGAGTTGAGTACTTTTTTTTTATTTTTGCCAGTCAATTAAAAAAAAAAAGGTCATACCATTATTTATACAGTGATAAAATATGGCTTGTATAGAGTGAATATTTTATTTGATTATTGAATGTTAAAAAGGCAATTTAAAAAAATAATTTATATCAAAGAACAAGAAAAAAATATATATACAGAGTGATTCTTTTAACGCTAGCCAAAAATTTAAGTGGAAGTTATAGTAATCATATAACTCCCACTTAAATTTTAAGAATCACCCTGTATATGTAAATTAAAAACAAAAATGTATAAAAACAAAATTATAATAACAATTATTTTTAAAATCAGGTTTAAATATCTAAAAGATAAATTATTATATAAGAAGTAGACGGTATCCAAAAACTATGAATTTTTAAGGGAGCGTAGAATTATGAGTCGAGGATTATTATTATTATAATAGAAGATACGATAAGAGGAAATATGGAAAAGAAAGTGATTTCTAGTGAGATAGGATGGAACACGAAAGGATACAGAGAACAAAAGGTCTGGTACATCAATTAAACCATTAAGGAGAGCATTGATAAAAAGTAGATCAGTGTCAAGTAACCTGGAAACAAGTGTAGGTATACTAAGTGTGGATAAAATAATGGAGTAATCATGTGGGGGTTGGGAAATTTTAAGCAAATAAGCAGCGTAAGATAACAAATGGTTTTGTATTCTTTCAATTAGAAATTGAACGCTAGATAAGTATGGATGCCATACAACTACACAGTGATCTAAAATGGAGCGAACAAGGGAAAAAATAGAGGGAACATAAACATTGTGGGGAAGTGAAAGGGCTAGCATGGTGCTTTAAAAATCCTAAAAGTTTTGCCAACAGGATATGGTAGATTTACCAGGGCGGAAACTATGTTGTTCATCAATGATGTGGTTAAAACTAAATTTAATATATGAATAGACAAGGGATAGAAATAGTTTGGCAATATGGGAAAGAAGAAAATAGGCTTGTAACTGGGGACAAGAGACGGGTCACCAGTTTTCAGTATAGGTGTGATGGAACAAATCTTCCATAATTCAGAAAAAAACATTCTTCTAGAAAATGCGTATAAAAAAAAACATAGGCTATGCTAGAGAAAGTAGGCAATTTTTAATAATTGTGCTGAGATTCCATTATGACTATTCAAAAATTGTTTTTTGGAGAACTTAATATGGTTTGGATATTTTCGAGGGAGAAAAACAATTTGAAGACTGTTTATAAAAATAGGTGGTACAAATTGTTGAATCAGAGAAAGAAGAAAGAGAAGTTTTGTAAATAGAAGAAAAGCGGTACAAAAATAGATACAGTAAGTGAGCAGGAGTACATTATGTGACACACAGATGAAGGAATGGAAGAGTTTTTATTAAGATCTTTGGTATATTTCCAAAAGATAGAAGAATTAAGAGTAAGCATATTTTGGGTGTAATTAATATAGGACTAGTCATTTAGTTTAGAGATATGCTTACATTAAGCTCTGAAAAAATTAAATAATTGTTAGGACGTTTTGATCATTTAAAATTAGCATGAGCTTGTTTTTTTGATAAATAAAATTTTTTCGTGTTGCCGAACAAGGGGGGAACTTGTGAGTTTTAAAAATTTTAACAGAAACAAAGAGATTAATAGAATATAGGATCGCATCATTAAAAACAGAAGCGACATCATTGATAGAGTAAAGAGAGAAGGTAGTCTCCAGTTTAAAGGAATTAAAAAATTAAGATATAGCAGTATAGTCAGCACCTTTAAAATCTTTGTAAGTTTGTGTATTATCATGTAGGTTGTCATTGCTGACATAAATACAACACTTACTTATATTTGTAGGTTGTACAATAATGGTAGGTTGATTGTCCCATCTTGTTTTTCTTACATCATTATTATTAAGTATATGAGGTGTGATATAACTTGGTGAATGCATAGGTTCTTGATGACGTTGAACTATACCATTTTGTGTTATTTTCATAATACATTCCTTATTATCCATCCAATTATCTAATACCTTCTTTCTAAAACTTTTAAAATAAAATTCATTGCAATTATTGTTTTTAATAAACAAATATAATAATTACTTTTTTTTTCTTTCCAATTCAATTTTTTGTTCATACTCTTTTCTTATTTTTATACGATCCATATATACCAAATTGGTAGTTGGCCGGATTTTATTATTTATTTTGCTATTAGTTTTGTAAGGAATTTTCGACCTATAAAATTATTTTTTTTATTAAATAATATCAATTTTACCTGGTTAATTTGTAAAGGTAAATACCTTTGAAATATTACTTAATATTATACTTTAACATTTTCAAACATAACTTTTCATTTTTAATTATAATGACTCAAAATTAACATTTTTTTAAAATAACCCTAGGATAGGTTAAAAAACTAATTTTTAAAGACATTTATTTTTCATATTAAAAAAAAACTATTTTAAAAGTTGTAATAAATTTACTATAGTTTTCTTGCTTATATTATTTAGAATGTTTTGACATTAAAAGCACTGTTCTAACTACAAAACTTTGGTAGCAAAATAAAAAACCAAGCTTAGTGGGGACAAGCATAGATGATATCTGACAGTGATTAAAATCAGTATCAAGAAACTTGATTTAAATCTGTAGATATTGTTTAATTTTTAGAGGAATTATTTAATTATTCCAAAAGCCACATGAGTTCCTATTTCTTTATTTATATCCTGATTACAAGTTTTATGATTTATAAATATAATAAAAAAATAAATACTATATAAATTGTTATAGTAATTAAATTTAGTATAAAATTGATATTGAATAATTCAGTATTGTAATTTTTATGGAATAATTATGAAAAGTTATAGAGTTGTGTATACAGAATAATTCTTTTAATACTAGCCACTTGAATGGACTTCAAATAATAATTACATTTAAAGTTTTAATTTTATTTATTTCTCGATTTATTAATTATTACATTTTTTTAAAATTCATCCTTTATACTATAAAAGGGCGTAAACTTTATTTCTTTCAATGACAACATGCATAATTAATTAGTTAATAAAATAAAAAATTGTCTAATTAAGAAAATAACTAGTCAAAAATAATTTTTTAAATAGTACTTCAGAATTTATTAACATTTTTAAATGTAGAAAGAAGGAAGAATGCGACAGAGTAATATGTTATGATAACAAAACATAACCCACATTCACCTTCACTTTATATTTTCTTAACTTAATTAAAATGAATTAAAAAATGAAGTTGACATCCTTATTAGTTATAAAGGATGAATTAAAAAAATTATTATTATTAATAAATAGAGAAATATATGAAACTGAAAAATACCAAAAATAATTTTCAAAGCATAATTATTATTTTAAAAGAAATTGAGTGAAGAAAAGTTGCTACCAAGTAATTATTGAAAGAATCACTTTGTATTTTATCATAAGCCATTGGTAGCTAAAACATATTTTTGAAAAGGGCAGCCCCTTCCTTTTAAATTAAAACGAAGGAGCTGTCTAATCTAATATGTATATTAAAAGTTTTATTAAACATATTAGATTGTCATAAAAGATTTTTAAACATTTTCCTTAAAAATATTTATAACTAAAACTAAATCATTTATAAATATTTTTTTTTTGTAAATGGGAATTGAATGGAGTAATTACCCGGTTCTTCCTATAGGACTATACCGTTTGACCTAAAATATAAACAAATTAATTGAAATAGAAAATTATAACAACACGAAAATTGATGATTTTTTTGCTTGAAGTGCTTGAGGATATATTCATGTTTGCAGTTGAGTTCTGACATTTTGGACTCATTGCAGAGTCCGAAACAACACAATCCATGAAAGCTTTAACACATTTATTGATGATCTTTTTACACCAAATTAACATATTTTGTTTAATTTGGGGAACTATCTACATTTATAAGATAAAATGTTGGGACAATTTTTTTTTTTAACTTAATAGTAAATAGCATATGTTTAGATTCCTGAATATTTACCGAACATATTCAAAAGTTCTACATTTTATATGTATGTTTCTAGCTTTGAAACCCCTCTGTATAAGAGGAAATAATGAAGTGAAACCTTTTTCAGTCATTCAACTGATAGAATATTAGGTTAGTTTTGGAAAAAATAAAAAATACACCTAAACATTTTATTTTCTATTGAAATTAATTTAATTTATTATTATTATTAATTTTCTTATTTTATTGCCACCAAATATATAATGGGCTTATGATAATCAATATGTCTAATGTAAGTTTTTGATTGGATACTATGAAGATATTGTGTGAAAATTGTGGTTTTTATATGTATATATATATTTTAAATTAACCAAAATATTTAATATATCAAAAGTTAATAGATAAATTAAAAAACGGTAGCACAGTGGGGTCGCGGCATAGTGGAGACATTGCATAGTTGGGTTCAGTCTAGATTTAATCTGACAGTGATTAAAATCACTATCATAAGAAACGCTTCGATGCAAATCTGTAGATAGTGTTTAATTTTAAAAAATTGATGGATAATTGCAAAAGCAACATCAACTTCTATTAAAATAAAATACAAAACCCATAATTATCATACAAAAATAGTATATTTTTCAATATGGTA